CATGCCTAAGGTAGGTGTTATTAAACAGAGGAAGTATTTGTTGCAGAAACAAACAAAATGGAGAAGTGCATTTAAAAAAAAAGGATGGGCTTTATTTATATGTGATTGTGTTTATTGTATGGAAATCTTAAATATGTAAACAGAATGCTTCAAGTTGTTCTCTGTACTACTATTGTACATTATGTGTATGTCTTTCAAGCTTTTTGTTTATGTGAGTATCCACATATAATGTTTAGTGTGTATATGTGTGTGTGTGCGTGCGTGCATGTGCGTGTGTAATGTAGATTGAACAATTCAGCCTTTTCTCCTTGGAAAAGATAACATTCTGTTCTGTAGCTGATTAATTCAAACATAACTTTTATTGACAATGTTTTGGAGAAATGGGCACCCAGGACCAGTTTGCCCCCGTCACACATAGGTGGTGTATATATCTCTAATGCATGCACACCTGAAATCATAAAGTCGTTGAGCAGTTAATATTTTACTTGTGTGTTGCTAACTGCTTGTAGAAACTTACAGAATGTGCTTTATTTACACCTACAAAGCTATTCAGCTGCTTTTTTTCCAATGTGCCCCCCAGGATGCTTTTATTGAAGATGGTTCAGTATTAGTTTTTCCATAATAAGATCTTCTTTTCGTTTTATCGGGAGGCATAACAATTGCTTCATGATTTCCGTAAGGATATTGGGCATGATCCAGCCAAACTGAGTACCGACACCTTTTTTTTCTTTAATAAAAGCACTGGTCTTAATGCTATGTGATATACTTAGGATAAATATGCATATTTGCAGGCAGATGTGTCCCAGAGAACATGAGTAGAGCAAGCGGAATTACCCCTTAGCTGAAGCGTGTTACTTCAGGAATTTCAAAGCCTGGCGCCTTCATTACATATTTATAGGTGCCAAGTGAAAACATCCCTCTTCACCCAGGCCTTTTGAACTGTGTGGGGCCAGAGCGCCAGCTCCTTGGGGCCAAGGAACTGGGGGGGGGGGCTGATCTTTTTTTTAAGGAGCTGGGCCCTCTCACTGGTCAGATGACTCTCTCAATCCGGAAAAAGGTGAGGGGCGAGGGTATTGCTTTGTTTCTTATTACATTATGTACTTTTGTGTTTTTATATTGTAAACTGCTCTGTGATCCTTGTAGGTATATACATTTAATCGATAAATCAATAAGTAGATATATACATTCAATCAATAAATTATTCTGCACTTTCCAGTGCAATTGCCCACCAATCCCCTTATCCCAAAATTCTACCTTTTCTGGTGTGTGTGTGTGGGGGGGAGTGTTTTTGTTGTGCAAGAGCACCCTATCAACTTTAATTGTGCAGCCTGAATTTTTTGGTATGTGACTGAAGCCTATCCAGAAATAGCAAATCTGGAATAACCCCTGGTACAATTTTACAAAACTTTCCAGAGGCATCTGGTTAGCCACCGTCGGAAACAAAATGCTGGTGTGCAAACAGGAGAGCTTCCATGCTCTTCTGAAAACATCTTATTTGTGTGGGAGCTGGGAGGATCCTCAGATTCATTACACTGTGACTACATTGTTAGTCATCAGTTAAAGGAAGAGACTCTGGGCATTCCATCTCAAAGGGAGGATGCCTCCGTCCCCTGCTCTTGCCGTAGCAGAACTGCTGCATTCCTAAACTGTTGGTAGCTGTTTCTGCAAACTGGTTCCGATAATCATCTCACGCCTTAATGTACTGATACTCAATTATGATTTGTCATTATAGAAAAATTGTCCTGGGGAGTAAGGAATTAAAATTGTTGTTTTAAATGTCAATAGCACAATGCAGAAATAGACCAGGTTGAAATTTCTGCAAAGGGCAAAGTATAGGCGCTTACACAACAATTGCTTAACATTAACATAAACAGCCTCTTGCAAACAATGCAAGTGTGAAATACTTCACAGAGGGATGGGATGTGAGTGGGATATTTTTATTTTTATTGGACTTTCTTCGATAGCTCCTAATAAAAGAGAAAAGCTCATTTTACACAGGAACATCTTTTGTAAGGAGTAAAGTGAGTGCAGCTGCTCAATTTATATATCTAGGCCAGCCAAAACAGGATGTTTATAAACAGAAGCTGGAAAGAATTGGGGAGAAAACTCAAAAAGCTGGAGGCTTACTCCGTCTTATAAGAAGAAGTATGAAATCTAACCCCATAAAGACCAGATGACTACATTCCTGCCCAAATGTAGCTTTCTGCCCTTCAAATAATTAGGACCACTTCATTGTCTCACTTGATGACAGCCTTGTCCACAACAGGATTCTCCTTTGCTGTGAAGACTTAGACATCTCTGGCTTCCTGTTTATTAAAAATCCATCTTGATTTGTTTGAAGGGAGATTATACACTGGCTTTTCATTGAGCTTCCATTGTGATTTGTTTGCAGGGAATAAATAAATGAGGATGGATCCTGGGGTGGGAAGCATATCAGTACAGTGGTACCTTGGTTCTCAAACTTAACCCGTCCTAGAAGTCCGTTCCAAAACTAAAGCATTCCAAAACCAAGGCGCGTTTTCCCATAGAAAGTAATGCAAAATGGATTAATCCGCTCCAGACTTTTAAAAACAACCCCTAAAACAGCAATTTAACATGAATTTCACTAACAAAACAATTGATCCATAAAATGAAAGCAATAATCAACTGTACTATAAAATAAATAAGTTTTGTAGATGATAAAAATTAAAATTATTATTTTTTCTTACCTGCACTGATGGTTGTCATTGTTTGCATGGGTGTGCATGTGTTATCCATTTCTGCAGTCACTCACTCACTCAATCAATCAATCAGTAGCTGAACTGGGTTCCACACAGTCAGAAAAACAAATTAACCGAAAAAGCCTCATAAACAAAAACGCAAAAGAAATAGCAAAAACAAAAGTACCAAACTTAATCTGTTCCAGAAGTCCATTTGACTTCTCAAATGTTCAAAAACCAAGGCGCAGCTTCTGATAGGTGAAGGCGCCCCAGAAACAGCAGCCGACAGCCACATCGGACGTTCGGCTTCCAAAAAACACTTACTTCTGGGTTTTTCGGCATTTGGGAACCAAGGCGTTTGAGTACCAAGGCGTTTGAGAACTAAGGTACCACTGTAATAGAAACATTTTATTTTATTTTTAAAAGGTTAGATGTTATGTGAGAGGCGCCAGGTTGCCCCCCAAGATTGGGGGGTGTCAGTGTGTGTTGCACCAGTCTCCCTCAATATTTTTTTGGGGGGCGCTGGGCCCCTTTCAACAAATATTGAGGAGGCTGAAGACACCTCCACCCCCTAGAATTGGCGTACCTGTAGTACGTCAAGTGTAAGTTACCTCACACTCTCTAGAGCACTTTCCCCATTACAGTGGTACCTCAGGTTAAGTACTTAATTCGTTCCGGAGGTCCGTTCTTAACCTGAAACTGTTCTTAACCTGCTGCTGCGCCGCCGGAGCACAATTTCTGTTCTTATCCTGAAGCAAAGTTCTTAAATTGAACCACTATTTCTGGGTTAGCGGAGTCTGTAACCTGAAGCGTATGTAACCCGAGGTACCACTGTATACTCCTTATTAATATCTATATAGCACCAATCTCTGAGGTACATTGAGATTCAGATTTGATCCTGTTGCAATAAACAAACAGAATAGCAGGCAGCAACCTACAGGTCACCTGGGCAACCAAGCACAGATTAAGGGAAAGTTCAAGGTATATTACCTTTAACTTACCTTTCCCGCCCCGACCTGGCCACAGTGATCCATGCGACGGTCACCTCCAGGCCTGACTACTGTAATTCGCTCTACGCGGGGCTGCCCTTGAAGCTGTCCCAGAAACTCCAGCGGGTGCAGAATGCTGCAGCGAGGCTCCTCACGGGGTCTTTGCCATAGGAGCATATTCACCCAGTGCTTTTCCAGCTGCACTGGCTCCCGGTGGAGTACAGGGTCAGATTTAAAGTGCTGCTTTTGACCTTTAAAGCCCTTCGCAGCCTAGGGCCCTTGTACCTACGGGACCGCCTCTCCCGGTATGCCCCACGGAGAGCCTCAAGGTCCATAAATAGCAACACCCTAGTGGTCCCGGGCCCTAAGGAAGTTAGATTGGCTTCAACCAGAGCCAGGGCCTTCTCAACACTGGTGGAACGCTCTGCCTCATGAGACCAGGGCCCTGCAGGATCTGATTTCTTTCCGCAGGGCCTGTAAGACAGAGTTGTTCTGCCTGGCCTTTGGCTTGGAGCCAATTTGATTCCCTTCCCCTCTTTCTTTTTTCCTTTCCTTCTCCTGCAATGAGGCTACATTTTAATATTTTAATGTTCAATATTTTAATGTTGTATTTTAATTTTGTTTTTAAATTGTAATCATTCAACTTGTTTTTATTATTGCTTGTAAGCCGCTCTGAGTCCGGCCTAGGCTGGGGAGGGCGGGGTATAAATAAAAATTATTATTATTATTATTAAAAAGAGGTAAGAGGGATTTATTGTTTCGCCGCCCTGAGAAGTGTAGCGGCGTGAGGGGAATAAGGGTCTCTCGGCAAGCACTACTGACAGGATCCTTTGGGGGATGCTATGACTGTTTAATGGGGCAAGATTCTGCTTTAAATGTAAAGTGGAAGGTGGGGCCTTGCAATTCCCCTCAGTACTCAGTCTGCCCCTCAGGAGAGTCTTAAGTCTCGAAACATTGACTTCCTCTTCAGCAGCCAACTCATGTCTGCGTATCAATCTTTATGGAACTGCCTACTTTTCTTACACAGGATTTGGATGTCAGTCCTCTTTCTTTGACCTCCACAATAGACCTTGAACTTTCCCTTCATCTGTGCTTGGTTGCCCAGGTGACCTGCTGTTCTGTTTGTTTATTGCAATAGGATCACATCTGAATCTCAATGTACCTCAGAGATTGGTACTGTATAGATATATAGTACACACACACACACATTTATGAACTGATCTGCTCTTCATCGAAGAATATTACTCTGCGGTCATCACAAAGGGTTGCTTATATTTCAAGGAGTAGTCACCAATTAAAAATAAATACTTACAACTCTGCCTTCTTTTCCACAGGACGATTGCCTTCTTCAGTGACCAACACAAGTAGAAAAATAAAATAAAGATGGCGTGTGAGAATGAAATAGCTATTGTGGGTATAGGATGCAACTTTCCTGGAGGTAAGTCTTTGGGGGGGGGGGAGTGATATAAGAAAGTTACCCATGTTTCTTTCACTATTTTATTGTTCTATGGCATAAAGCTTTCTCGTGATTTAAAGTAAGAGTAAACTAAGAACTCAGCACTAGTTATTGAGAGATACCAATACAGTGGTACCTCAGGTTACATACGCTTCAGGTTACACACTCCGCTAACCCAGAAATAGTGCTTCAGGTTAAGAACTTTTGCTTCAGGATAAGAACAGAAATCGTGCTCCGGCAGTGCAGCAGCAGCAGGAAGGCCCCATTAGCTAAAGTGGTGCTTCAGGTTAAGAACAGTTTCAGGTTAAGAACGGACCTCCGGAACGACTTAAGTACTTAACCTGAGGTACCACTGTATTTAAATTCTTGCTAGAAATATTTTTAATATGTCCCTGTCATGAACATGGAGAAGTGAATGTCTGTGATATTATGAAGTCCACTGGAAATTCAGGTTTGTTACATGACAGATCTTGGAATTTTGCATCTCATCAATACTCTTTAAATGTCTGATCTAACTTCCACAACAAGCAGAATAGCACATATCAATTTAATTATGTATTTTGCCTTCCTGAACTTGGAATATGCTAACCTAAACCTTATGCCTTCACAACTAGATGGCTCTCATCTGCGAGATGCCATCCAAACAAATATGGTAACAGCTGAATGCAATTTTCATAAGAACATCATGCAGAAAAATTACAGACAGTATGATGAGATTGTGTGATTTAGGAAAAGGTCCAATTTTCTATGAAATTTGAAATTTTGTAGCACTTGAAATGCAAATTTAATTTGTATCGCATTTTGAAAGTTGGATTTCTCATGTAAGTTCAGATAAACTGAACAAGGCAGGTTTGACATTTTGAAAACAAAACAGTATATTTTAATACATCTAAAAATGTATATTTAAATCTTCATGCAACAGGTGAAGGAATTGACAGTTTCTGGAAAGTGTTAGAGAATGGCAGAAACTGCACTACAGAAATACCTCCAGAAAGATTTAATATTAGAGAGTGGTATGATCCAGGTGACGACAAACCAGGTAAAATACGTACAACTCGTGCTGCTCTTCTTGATGAGTAAGTCATATATTTTGCTAATAAATCCTTCAGACTTTCTAAACTTGCACATTTCTCCCTTGAAATGACTCACTGATGTAATATGTGTTATTATATGAACCTTTCAAAATATCTCTTAAAACTAACGAGCAATCTCAAAGTGCTGCGTTATAATGAATGCATTTCCACACTACGGGAGCTGCTTTGGGTGCAAATCTTATGCTGAAATTGTACACTATATGAACTTCACAAAAAAGGTGATGTCATCATAATACTAATGTCCCTCCACATTCTGCTCATCAGCTACAATTCAGAGTGTGGGTATTAATCTCTTTTCCAACTACATGATCGGAAGGCCTTGAGGGCAAGACCCATGCTGAGGTGGTTTGGTGAGCAGCATGAGCAGAGGCACATTTTAAGCCTCTTTGAGTTCTTTTTTTTCTGAAAAAGTGACTAGTTAATAATCGCCACAACAATAATAAATTCATTATTATCATTATTATTTCATTATACTTTATACCCATCATGGAATCCAAGTTCCCAGGTGGTCACCAACCCAGGTACATCTGGACCTGCTCAGCTTCAGTAAGGAGATGTCCCTAAGTGCCTTCAGACCAGATGTTGTCTCTATGCTCCTCCAAATGTCCCATAAATCACAGCCAGTGTGCCCAACAAATGCCTCATTCTTGCTTCAGGGACTAAGGCAGCTATAACCCATTTTAGCACTGTTGTCTCCCACATGAGAGTTATCCTTATTCCCAGCGCTCTTTTTCTAGAAAAAGAGGTGGTGGAACTCACTATGAACACCTCCCTTGTCCTCTTATAATGGCAATGGCGCCCACCTGAGAGTTGCCAAACTGAGTTCCAGTGAGTTCTGGTGAGCGTGGGGGAGCCCTGATTATACTGCAGTGCAGCTTTTCCTGGTGCAATAGTTTCAAGCCATGGTGTTTCACTGCTATTTCCACCAGCTTCATACAGTGGTACCTTGGTTTAAGAACAGCTTAGTTTATGAACAACTTGGATTTAGAATGCTGCAAACCTGGAAGGTGTTTTGGTTTGTGAACTTTGCCTTGGAAGCAGAACATGTTCCGCTTCCCGTTGAGTGTGTTTCATTTGTAAATTGAGTCCCTGCTGCTATGGGAAAGCACACCTTGGTTTAAGAACAGACTAAGGTACCACTGTGCTATGAAATGACATGGGCACAGTGTCCTATTTGCTGTGTCCTATCTTGACAATTTATGTGCTGGAAGCTGTACGCCGGCTCCCTTGGCCAATAAAGCGAGATGAGTGCCGCAACCCCAGAGTCGGTGACGACTGGACCTAATGGTCAGGGGTCCCTCTACCTTTACTTTACAACATGTAGTATTAGGCTTCAATGAATTTTAAGTATATCTTATCAGAGCATGTTGGATTAAGCAGTATATGAATCACACCGTATATCATGTCATACCTCCATTTAATTTTTTTAGATTGAATGCATTCGATAACAAGCTGTTTGGCATCAGCAATGAGGAAGCTGAGCGTATGGATCCTCAGCAAAAGTTACTCATGGAATGTACCTACAGAGCGCTGGAAGATGCAGGAGTCACTCCTGAAAACATTAGTGGTACCAAAACAGGGGTTTTTGTTGGTAAGATAATAGCTATGATGCAGAAGATTTTGTATATTTACATTGCATACCATATATCTGCTTTAGAGGGGGCCACACGGCGATTGGTAACACCACATCTATATGGGCGTTTACACCTGGCAATTCCAAATAAAATGATGTTGGAAGATGCCTAGATAATTGCTTTGTCAGAATTGAGAATATTGGATAATATTGTTAGGCCTTTAAAATATGTATTTCCAAGTGAGTTCCTAAATTCCTCTCTTCCCCAGCATAGGAAGTTTGGTAATTTAAAAATTGGTTTACTTACAAACTCATCAAATGTCAGCTTCATGTGCTTTTCCATACGTTCATCAGAAAACATTGCACAGGCAGGAAAACTTAGCCTAGTTACAAAGTGGTAAAAGTTCCTAGATTTATTGGAATATGAACACAAGGGTGGCTGGTGAGAGCCATGTGACTGAGCTGGAACAAGCAGCTCAAACCTCCTCACACACTGAGTTTCTCAAGTAGATGGGACCATAAGCCTGATTACCTATCTCATCCCAAGGACAGGGGAAGTGACATAGCTAAGCTTGGCAGGAGAGCTCACTCTGAGTTTTTAACCCCTTCAGGCATTAATAAACTTAAGCATGTTGGTTGTGCAAGGCTGGTTATCAGATTTACTGTGCAGGGAAACTGAGATGGGGAAACACATGCTGCTTAAGTGCCTTAGAAGAAACACAGAATAAAAGTGAAATAATAAATAATTGTAGGATAGGAGGTGAAGAATAAAAACCAGTACTAGATGTAGATTTGAGTGTAAATTGACCTTAAAAACAAATGTTCTGTATTTACAGGCCTGATGAATCGAGACTATGAATCTATAACCAGCAGGGCAGTTGCTGAAATAAACCATTATGATGCCACAGGGGCAGCAATGAGTACAGCTGCTCATCGGATTTCATACAGTTTTAATTTGACTGGACCATCAATTGCCATTGATACAGCTTGTTCATCTTTTCTTCTGCTTTGGATCTTGGTTACAAAGCCATTAAACAAGGTATTCTTGGTTACTATGTTTCACTGACCTGGCCACAGTGATCCATGCGACGGTCACCTCCAGGTTTGACTACTGTAATTCGCTCTACGCGGGGCTGCCCCTGAAGCTGTCACAGAAACTCCAGCGGGTGCAGAATGCTGCAGCGAGGCTCCTCACGGGGTCTTTGCCATAGGAGCATATTCACCCAGTGCTTTTCCAGCTGCACTGGCTCCCGGTGGAGTACAGGGTCAGATTTAAAGTGCTGGTTTTGACCTTTAAAGCCCTTCACAGCCTAGGACGCTTGTACCTACGGGACCGCCTTTCCCGGTATGCCCCACGGAGAGCCTCAAGGTCCATAAATAGCAACACCCTAGTGGTCCCAGGCCCTAAGGAAGTTAGATTGGCTTCAACCAGAGCCAGGGCCTTTTCAACTCTGGCTCCGGCCTGGTGGAACGCTCTGTCTCATGAGACCAGGGCCCTGCAGGATCTGATTTCTTTCCGCAGGGCCTGTAAGACAGAGTTGTTCCGCCTGGCCTTTGGCTTGGAGCCAATTTGATTCCCTCCCTCTCTTTCTTTTTTCTTTTCCTTTCTCCTCCTGCGATGAGGCTACATTTTAATATTTTAATGTTTCAATATTTTAATGTTGTATTTTATTTTTGTTTTTAAGTTGTATTCATTCATCTTGTTTTATTATTGCTTGTTAGCTGCCCTGAGCCCAGCCTTGGCTGGGGAGGGCGGGGTATAAAATAAAAATTATTATTATTATTATTATTATTATTATTATTATTATTACTATGCATACCATTAACCGTGATTCCCAAACTCCGCCCCCCCCATAGACCACTTGAAAATTGCTGAGGGTCTTAGTGGATCACTAAATGATTTTTCTGTGTATTATATCAACTGTAATGCACTGTGCTAGGTGGTGCATGGAACCTCGGTTGTCAAACACTTCGGAAGTTGAAGGTTGCGGCTTTCAAACGCTGACAACCCGGAAGTGAATGCTTCCATTTTTGAACGCGCCTTGGAAGTCGAATGGCTTCTGAGGTGCATTTCTCCATTTTTTCAGTGGATTTTGCCGACCAGCAATTGCGCCTCAGTTGTTGAACGTTTTGGAAGTCAAATGGTCTTCCAGAACAGATTACGTTCGACAACCAACGTTCCACTGCTTATGCCCTGCCTGACCCAGGAGAGGCTAGTTTAAAACTTGGAGATGAGAGACAAAGATATGCCCAACAAAGGATTTTGCAAGAGAAATCACCATGATGACACCGATGGTATCAACACCTCGTGGCTATGTGAATGAAATATCCGTTTTCCCCCTTTCATGATTTCAGGCTCGTTTTGTTTTTCTGTACCTTTGATATAGGAGACTGCGAATCTGCTATCTGCGGAGGAGTAAATTGCATCATAGAGCCTTGGAAGTTTGTATCTCTGAGTAAAGCAAACCTTTTATCACCTGACGGAATTAGTAAACCCTTCTCTAAACATGCAGGT